GGGAAAGAGGGGGGGGAATTGGATCGGGACATGACCCAGGCTGGACAACAGATACTACACTATGTGCCACAGCTCTGACACCACTCTGACATTTGATTTTGATTTGCAGATCTATTTGTATAAAAGAGATCAGTTTCAGCTTAAGCGCAGTGGCATGGCCTGATTCTCACAGCCTAGAGGCTGAAAAACTGAAAGATAGACAGCAGGAACACCAGGAGAGTGTGGAAAAACAGACACGAGACATAGGGCGAAATAAAGAGAGTTGGGATTTGACAGTCTGTTTGTACATGTGAATTCTAAGCTTGTCTTCATTCAAGAAATCAAAAGACAAAATGTGAATCTTTATTTCATGAGGATTGTGAGTTTCCAGCACTACAGCTGAAGCATGAGTAAAGATGAGAGCTCATATCAAAGATCATATAAAATCAAAGCTAATATCAAAGATAAATCTAGACAGCGTATTCCTGTTTCAATCAAGACGCAAAAGTGTTGATCAAAAGATATATATGGGACAAAAAAAATGCCCATATCAGTTACCAGCCTTTCCAGTCATTTCATACAATAATACAATCTCAAACTACATTATTAAAGTTTCTGAAAATGATGCTTGTCTGTGCAAAACTGCCACAATGTTGGCATTCACCTGACATTATTTCTATGATTTTCATTGTTCCGATGATATTCTGGTCCTTCGATATCACTGGAGTCCCCAGGGAAGCCACGTCAATCCGAGGAGTTCAGAGTGAACATTCAATCATTTTTCCCACACATTTCATCATTCGCTGGACAAAGATCTCAAAAAGTAATAGCATACCACTCCAAACCAAACCATATGATTTGTTCATGCTCAAGTTTAAGTTAGGCAATTTTAGTAATCACCACTAAATATAGCAACGATTTATGCACCATTCCAATAATAATTAATCATATGCAAATCCAACGGCATTTGGTATCAATTCCAGAACATCAGCGATTTCCTCTAACCGCCCTTGATGAGAGGCGCAGTGAGCATACTTAGGTTTATCTCTTTAGAGATAAATGGAAATCCTCAGCTAGGTGTATTCACAATGTTAAATCAAGGAAGCGTTATTAAATCAACCTCAGTTTTATGCTGTAATCAATTTCCACTGAGCCTTGAATGTTATACCAGCCAGATCTAACCTTGCCGTGTGTCAAAGAATCACTCGAACAGCAACAGTCGATAAACACTGGGAAACATTCCACTGCTTGGCGAATTTGGACTTAGCTCAGCTGCATGTAATGGCTAAAGATCAGCTAAGGAGGCTAAATTAAACCTGACTTCAATGGGATGTGTCTTTGATTAGAACTAATGAATGTGGGTTAGTGCAGGTAGACCGATTGAAGGCCTATCATTACTCAAGTGACAGGAAAGGGACAGACATTTATGTCCATAGCGGTGGCGGCAACCCAACTCGCAGCCTTCTGCGGCATATTAAATTATTTATCTCATCCAAAGACAAAAAAAAAAGTGCTCTCGTTCTCTAAGACCATTCACTTTGTTTAGCAAAAAGATGCTTTTTTCCTGTGGTGAAATGGGCATAGGCAGCCTGATTCCTCGTGTATGAAGGTGCGTATGAATATGTATCAGGCATCATTAGCAATCTCGGTGACGCATCAATCCCGCAAGAAATATCACTGCCAAGACCTCTCTGTCACACACTCAGTGTGTGTGTGTGTGTGTGTGTGTGTGTGAGAGAAAGAAAAAGATGAATGTCTGCCAGATTTCCTTTTGTAATGAAAGTCAGACAAGATACAAGCCTTGGTCCGGAAGCTCTAGACAAATAAATAAAGGGAAAAAACAAAAGAAAAATAAGAGAAAGACAAAGTGCTCTCGTTCTCTAAGACCATTCACTTTGTTTAGCAAAAAGATGCTTTTTTTCCTGTGGTGAAATGGGCATAGGCAGCCTGATTCCTCGTGTATGAAGGTGCGTATGAATATGTATCAGGCATCATTAGCAATCTCGGTGACGCATCAATCCCGCAAGAAATATCACTGCCAAGACCTCTCTGTCACACACTCAGTGTGTGTGTGTGTGTGTGTGTGTGTGTGAGAGAAAGAAAAAGATGAATGTCTGCCAGATTTCCTTTTGTAATGAAAGTCAGACAAGATACAAGCCTTGGTCCGGAAGAAAAAGAAAAATAAGAGAAAGAGAGGATGCAAGAGAAGGACAATGACCTGCCAAATGCAACCAGACGGAAAGGACCTCTCTCGGCACTGAGAAATTATCCAAACAATGAGCTCAGAGCTACTCTATAGTGGCAACAGAAATGTTTGGACACTTAAAATTGCTTGAATATAACAGTGTTAAATATTAAACTACATGCCAAACTTGTGTTTTAATTAATGGGTTTGGCTATTCCTGTATTTTTGTGAGGGCAAATTTGTGCTATATTCATTTAAAAATAATGCCACATTTTGATATTTTATTAGACATTCATACATTTTTCAGTGTAGCATAAGTGCCCAAATGCTTTCTGGTGCCACTGTATCCCTCTACATTATTAATTTTCAATTAAACTCATGGCTTCTATTTGGTGTCCTTCATCACAACTTTGGGTACATAAGAATATATATAGCAACGTCACGTAGGCAGCTTCAAGCTCATTTGTAAATGTCAAATTAAGCTTTGGGATGGGAGAAAAGGAGCTTTTCTCCATCGTCTTTTACCTTCCACTCTGTCTTTGCTCTCACTCACTTTGTCTTTTTCCTGATCTCCTCCACCAACTGCTTAATGTGGTCCTCCATGAATTCAATCTTCTCGTTCTTACGAGCGTGTGCTTTCTGCAACCGCACGATGCGATCCACCAGCACAGTTTTGTCCACCTCAGGGAAGCTATCCACCACTACCACTGATGAACCGGACTGATTCTCTGGAGAGCGATCATCCATACTGCTGCCCCGTGCATTTAAAGAGCCTGAAAAACATTGTGCAGCTACAGTCATACTATAAGAGCAATATTACAAACAACAAAGAAAAGAAAATTGGCACTAAGATTAGAAGAACATTCTGGGTTAAGATTTATGCTGCAAATGCTGCTAGTAACAATGATCACCACAGAAATTAATTTTGACTCGTGTCTCAAAAATTGCAGGTTACAGTAACACACTTACAAGAAAGTAAACCAGGCCAGAATTCCAGAGGGTTTAAATGCATAAATATTAAGATTAGATTTGTGTTAAAGCATTTACATTATTTTTTTTAGTAAAACTTCACAGTATTTTAGTTTTATGCATACCTAAAGTGTCTTTTATTAAGTGGAACTACTTTTCTATGTTGAAAGACTGGATATAACTTTACATATCCACTGTAAGTGTGATACTATACTTTAAATTTTTGCTTTTTTGGATTGTCAGATTCAGACAGTGAAATGATGTTGATGTAACTTAATCTGTACTGACCCAGAAACATTACATACATACATACATACATACATATTTCTCACACACACACACACACACACACACACACACACACACACA